AGGCCCCCCCCCCCCCCTTATAGCAGGTCATACATGACCGGCCTGCGCTACATATTCCCTGCTCACCAATGTGAAACAAATCCCAAATGGGAATGCCCTCGGTGTATGCTGTGCCGTGGTTAAAAGCCTTCCAATGGGATGACGCCTCAGGCCTTTTTCAGTCTCTAAGCAACACAGTCCAGTGGTCATACAAGCAATTTTTCATATAGAGTGAAAAAAAAAATCCCACATTTCTACCAAGGCCGTTGGATAATATGAATGAGAAGCACACTGATATCACCTGGAGAGTTTGGGTCGGATGAATATGTGGTTAAGATAGATGACAGTCAAGCCACGCCGGGATATCACTGACTGGAAGGCACAGTTCTTTTATGAGTGGGAGGGGTCGCAACAGAGACTGGCAAAATGTCAAACATGTGTGCAGCCAAAACCCGAGCTGCTTGAATTATTCACAGAGAGCGCGGGTAAATAATGAATATCACAAATACGACCATGGACTCAGTAAGAGCCCAGTCTTTACAGTCAAGTGCTTTTAACCCCAGCAGACTTTATTCCTCTTACCGTTGGAGCAGCCTTTGAAACGAGCCCCTCTGACTGGTGCCCTCTGCAGGTCGGCCTTGACCCGGGCCTTCAAGCCCACGTTCTCCTTCTGCATGGCATTAAGAGCATCACTCACGGAGTTCACCACCTTCACCATGTTGATCTGGCTGTCTGACAGAAGCTGCGACACAGAAGAAGAAGAAGCAGAGAGAGAAAACAGAGCTGACGTCAGGACGTTAAAGTCAAGTCGTACCTGTTCGGTTTTTTTAACCCGCTAATTTAGCATACTTTTTGTTGACAATCCAATTTGCTTCATTTTAAACTTGAAAAAAGTCCAATTATATGCTTTAGGATTTGAAGGACAGAGATTTGTCAAGTAATGAAGAGAATAATTACTGAAGTGCAGAGCAGACGGGCGGCCACGGACACACGGAAGGATGAAAATAATTTTGTGAAAACAAGTAAAACTTTATTGATATTGAGAAGAAATCTAATTTTCTCACAGTGAATATTTTTACCTTACCTAAGTGACTTTTATTGTGTCACAAAATCAATTAGTTTTAGTAAAACAAATATAATATACTTTAGAAAAAACATAAATGATTCTGATACTTCACACTGGTTGCTGTGCACGTGAGAACATGTGTCACAAAATCTTAACTTTTTTTTAATTAAAAAAAATTGATTTCATGTCTAGAAACACACTCAGACCAAAGTACCAACAACTGATGTCAAAATATTTGTCAAATTAAAACAGAGGTGAATTATTAAGTACAGTATTTCTTTATCATTTTCAGATTAGTAGTGAAGTGACGACTGCAATAACCCTGTAGTAACTGACATACACACATACAGTAGCCTTTATAATCGAGAGTAAAGACACCACATGGTACAACATCCCATAATGCACTCTGGTGAATTCTATGAACCACAGAGAACCCTGTGGGAAAGCGGGTGATGAATGTGAGTGTTCAGACTGGCAGAGAGCAGAGTAACCTCTGAGGTCACTACTTGTCCTGCAGTATTTTATGTACTGTTCTTTGCAGAAAGGTCACTCCCAACACCGTCCTACTTGGCCCGAGCCTATGCACAGACACACAATACACATGCAGACAGACACAGTATAAGGAACGTCCCAAAAAAAATTGATTTCATGCTCTCTCTCTCGCTCTCTCGCTCTCTCTCTGACCCGTTCTGCTTCCATTTATCTCTCTCTCTCTCTCTCTCTCTGACCCGTTCTGGTTCCATTTACCTCCTGTTTACATGGAAATCGAACGCCGCAGTTCTACAGTTTTCAAAGTCACCCAACGCCTCCGTGCTCCTCCATCTAAACCCAAGTCTGTGCTGCTACACTCAGGTGTTACTGATGCACTAGACTGAAACTAGAGTGGCTTCTCTCTGGCCTCAATAACAACGTGACGCACCGCTGGGACACAGCACGCTGAATTACAGTCATATTACATGGACACTGGAGCTTTAACCCACAAACTACAAGACACAACAAAGTACACAGTAAACCAGATACAGTTCATACAACAGGAATGACCTACAGGATTGGAGCAAAGCAGATGAGAAAAAAAAAAAATCAGAAAAGGATTTACTCTGTTACGATCTGTGAGTCAAAAGACGTGATATAATTTTACATTTTGCTATGTCCTGGAATAATATATAACAGTTTTTTTCCTCTCCCTTATAAAATCATATATTCATCTGGAATAATATATAACAGTTTTTTTCCCTCTCCCTCATAAAATCATATAAAGTATACTACATAATTTTAACACTGCCACCTGGTGGTACCAAGTACGTGGTTCCTCTGGGAATGGAACCCAGGACTCTCGCCTCTTTGTTTACAAGGCAGTCGTAATTACCATCAGACTATAGAGCAGGCATGGGCAAACTAAGGCCCGGGGGCCGGATGTGGCCCCGTTCAGTTTTTTAATGCGGCCCGCCAAACTTTACCAAACGATATAATTCATTTATATTATCATTATACTTCTGCCTTTTCCCTGTAATACCCACGTTTCTCCAATAGATGGCGTAGAAAATGATAAAAAGCATTTTAACCTTTATGCGTGACTTTTATCTTAGTTCACACAAACGCTCCGTCGTTCTGCTCCTAACTCAACCCATATTGTTGCAGTAACTCATCCACAGAACAAATTCATTATGGCAGATGTCAACAAATAAATTCATAAAAATGATGCTTCGACAGCACGGTGTGTCTAGAGTGTCCACTCAGGATAAACGTATTGACCGTTAACCCAATGTTTTCTCATTACGCTGCACTTTGCCAGACAGATGGATCGGATTTCTGATATTTGGAATTTTAGAGCAGCCGTCCCATTTTCTTTCCCTCAGTAGATTTACCAGTCACACAGACTATTCATTCAACAGTTAGTCTACAATTAAAGAATAACAGACTGTAGAAAGATGAATAGTTTTTCATAATTTTCCATAATCTTTAAAAACTATGGTAGACATTAGCCGACGGCTGCACTTATGTTGTCTAATCCTTGACGTGAGAACAATGTCTCGTCGAGCTCTGCCTCCATTACTCTGTCCCTTTGATTTAATGAACTCAGAGACGCAAAACGTATAGAAACACAGAAACAATGAATAAAAGATTAAGGTGACGGACGCTTGGCTTAGGCATTAAAGTTGTATTTCCATAAGAAATCTAATTATAAAAGACGCCCGTCTTTAATTATTCATTGGACTTAGGTTTTGTTTGAACCACATATTGACCTTGTGTGACTGGTCTAATCTCCACACACTGCACCAATATGACTCTGTTTGACAAGTGGATTCATCACAGGAAATTGACAAACGTATGATATCACTTATTTAAACTTACATGGCAATGTTTGACTTTCTTCCTTATAATATGAACGCGCTGCAGTCGACTGAGTCTCGACTTCACATCAGACCGCTGCATGTGGTAATGCTGTTAATTATACCAACACGTTTTGAACTTATGTAAGTCTGCATTAGTCTAATTATTGATTTTAGTGAACTATACTTACATATAACTTATATGTTTTATTGACAATATTATTTCATGAAAATAATTTTGCAATTTTGAGAAGTTTTTTTATTTAAGGGCAAATAAAGGTCTCTTGTTTTTAGTTAATGCCAGATGCATTCTGGGAAAGTGTAATTTTGCAATTTTGAGAAGTTTTTTTGAAATGTAAGCCTGTTAGTAAACATTCAATCTAAAATATATATATATATATATTAACATTATTAACATCAAGGCCATGTTTTATATTGACCCCATATTCGGGAAATTCTTCTGTTAGCAGCAGATCTGCTATTACCAGTCTGCCCCCAGGAGGCGCCAAGCATGTAGCTCCTCTAGGAATCAAACCCAGGACTCTCTGCTCTCTGCTGCCGAGGCAGGCGTGCTAACCGCTACACTAGATATTTCTTCTTAAACTGAGAAGAATTATATTGGTTTTTATCAGAGACTTTTCTCCAGAACATTAAAATTCACGGAGCACATATTTCAGTTTAAACTGTGACCCGTGGTTTCTCAGAAACCATTAAGTCAAACTCTTCCTGGAGGACTCCACCTTTCCACAGTCTTTTTGCATTGAAACTGAATGTTAAGTCGCTTCACTCGTATACATGCTGTATCACGCAGGTCGGACTTCAATCTCTTCAAAGCTCAAGTGCGTAATAAGCACAGGTCAAAAGCCCCTCTAAGCTAACGCCAACTCAAAAGTCTTACATTGACTGGTGTGTGTGAGCAGAGAACAGTCAAAACAACAAGCAACAAAATGAAAAATCCATGAATTTTGTTTTGGTGCCTTTCCTTTCTACTTTGAATCTTTTGAGTCCCTGGTGGTTGATATGGTATAAAAGTTCAACATTTCCATTGAAGAATTTGGGTGTTAAAATAAATACTAGGTTTTTATCAGGAGACAAGAAGAGAAAAACAAAGAACTAATTAAAACTAATAAAAATGACTTAGTGTTTGAATCTGTATAAAAAGAATGTTGACAATCTGTCAAGGCTGGCTGCTTCACTCTGGGCTGAATGAGATGGCAGTGCCATGTATTGTATAATACGTTTGATTTAGAGCTAACATTAGCTACATGCCCCGGCTCCATTATTCCCCTGAAACCTGAGCTAAATGTATTGTTATATTCCTGGATTTCACTGATCTCACCTTTCAGAATGATTTATCTTAATGTAAATGGTCAGGCCCTGGTGTTCCGTTATTTGCCTAAAGGTAAAAAATATATGAATACGTCTTGGAAAAAAAGTCCTACACCTCCTTTTCTCTCCTCAAATTTTTCTCCTCACCTCCTCTGGGGCTTATGGAAGGGTTTATGTCTATGTGGCAGAGTGTAAATGTTCTTCAAGGGGCTGTGGTTCATATGGGGCTATTACTAACACTGGCACAGTCAGCTCTATGTCACCATATAAATCATAAGGCCTGGCCACAGGTGTCCAATAGATCACACGCTCCCACCACGGTGTCAGGCACAAACAGCGGATGTGCACGCCACATGCCCTGCCTCCGAAAAGGAAATCAATCACCGGGAGTTTCCGGGCTGCCACCCTACCACCACTTAAAGTTGACGCCCACTGTTCGCCACCTACACCCCGTTACCAACATGGGAGGACCGGTCTTCTCACTATCTTTTCTTCTGCTAACAATCAGCTTCAACGCCCACTGCGTCCAAGACCATAAAAACGCAGCAGGCCGTTTCTGGGGGCAACGTTTTGAAGTGATTTTTAAACAACGACCTAAAGAGTTTGACGTAGGACCCCGAGCACAGGAAGTACGACGCATGTTTATTAGAGATCAGAGAGACTGTGCCCAGTAATTTAAATGTATTTAGTAAATGTATGTGTGTGTCAATTAATCAATGTTGAGTGTGTAAAACTAAAGCAGGCTTAATTATCTCTCTGTCAGTCCAATTTATCTGGTTAAACATCTGATTAAAATCTAGTCAAATATTTAATTTCTTCATTTTTGATGGACATTCATCTCTGTGACCTCAGTTAATAATAATAATAAAAAAATAAATAAAACGAGACAACGTCAGTCACAGTCTGATTGTAAAGAGACTAAAGATATTATTAGATAAAAAACATCATGATGTTACTGCTGTGAAAAACCAAAATAAAATAAAATAATCAGAACTCCTGAAGAAAACCTCCAGAGCCATCGAGGTCACACATGTTAACGGAGGACGTTCGGTTCAGTCCACACTCACTGACGTTCTTCATCATCCAGTCCTTGGGCAGTGAGCAGTCCCTACTGTCAGACTCCAGTGATGAGTCTAGCTCAGCGGCTTCAAACCCTGCGTTATTATTTTCTAATCTAATATCGACCAATTACGTTCATCACGCAGATAAATGACTGTTACAGAAACCGTCATGAGATACGCCGCTGCACGCCGTGGAACTGGACGTGACGGATTCAAAGTTCCTTCAGTCCTTTTAAATGTCAGTGTTGTGATTGTGATCACGTACGTCTTTGTTGTCAGGTCAAGTAAAGTCAATTTGGGTACGTCTTTGTTGTCAAGTCAAGTCAATTTGTTTTTTTTCATTAAATTGTTGTGATTGTAATGGACAATAATCACACAGTTTTACTGTTGCTTTAACCGGGTATTCTATGTTTTTCGTGTTAACCTTTATCCTGTTGGCACAGGCTCTGGTGCGCGTGTGTGTGTAGGTCTTACCTGTATGAGGCGCCCTTGCTCAGTTTGTAGTGTGTTAAGGTCTTGACCCAGGCTGCCTTGACCCCTGCGCAGGGATTCAAAGTCCATTTTCAGTTGCCCTGCATGAGCGGACAGCTTGGCCACCTCCTCGGCCAGACTGACAAGCAGCGCTCGATCCTGGCCTTTCACTGACTTGAGGTCAGAGTCGTGGTCGGTGAGCGAGTGCAGCAGCGAAGTCTGCACGCCCTCCAGGCGCAAAAAGTTACTGTTATAGTCGGGGCAGTTGGGGTCAATGAAGATGTTGATGCGGGAGCCGTCGCCCCTCTCCACGGTGACCAGGGCGTTAGCTTCGTCCTGATTGGTGGAGATGTGGGGTAGGCCGTCGGACATCGGTGGGGCCTGGTAGTGGTTCATGAAAAGGATGGTGCCGGTGACGGTGACAGCCAGCAGTACAGCCACGAAGAGCAGGATGGTACAGATCAGGTAGCTGCAGCTCATTCTCTGTCAGTGGACGGGAGGAGGGAAGAGGGAATTGGGCAGATGGGAGAGAAGACAAAGAAGCAGATGTTAGGATGTCCACATGTACAACATAAAAATGACCACATCACCTGTCAATGATATCAAAATAAATTCCTTCTCTTCACAACAGGACGTAGTGAACGCCAGATGCTCAGACCGACAGCATTTCCATCTGTCAAATGTACTTTTAAATAGTTCACAAAGCAAAACTTACAGTTTCTGCAGGAACTAGACTCAACAGTATAGCAGTAGTGCCGTGTAGGTACTGTAGTAGTGTAATGGAGGATACTACTTTGAGACACTTCTGGGAAACATGCCGTCTTTACAATCCGCCGACAGGAAGAACAACAATAAAAAACTGAAAACATATAAGCGAGGAAGTCGTGTGTATGAACGAACGCACAGAGAAGAACCCTCTTAAAGGAAAAAGCCCGACGTCTACCAGTAACACAGACTTCACTTAACTGGACTATAAAAGGCCCACATGATGGCTTTTTATCACCTGGCGCCATTTTTTTTCCCCACTCAGGTCAGTGGAAGCGGTGGTAGACGGCCGAGTCACATGGTCCACCTGAGCTTGATTAAAAATTCCTGCCTCCTTATCATCCTCCGCATGACTCAGCAGCTGAACTTTACTAAATTTTTTTATTTTATTTTTTTTTATTCAATGCCGGGGGATGTTCCGTGTGAATGTGTAGGCAGGTGTGTTTGTGTGTGTGTGTGTGTGTATGTGTGTGCTTGTTATCCATTTGTATGTGGAAGTGTGAGTGAGAGCAACTCATTAATATGTAAATTGGCTGTACAAGCACAGCTAAGCACACTAATAGACAGCTAATGGTCTGCTTTACGAGAAAGGTTTGTGGCTCCGTTAATATGAGGAAAATCAATTGTGTTGTGCAGGAAACACTTCTATCGGCTGTGTGTTCGCCCAGAGCCCTGTGAAGAAGACATTGGAAGTTTTGAAAGTGCCCATATAGCAATATGGGGGCTGAAATGTGGCATCTGTCCACAACAGTGAAGGGGATTCACCGTCGTGGCCTTCACACTGCCTCCGCAGTTGGAGCCCAAATGGTTGTTGGTTCGTTGCCAGAGTCTACCTCGGTGGGTGAGTTCCACTGACGTCTGTGTCGTCCTATCAGGAGCTCAAATATGTTCATTTCAAAGGAAGTGCCTCTGAGTTCTACAGATGACTTCTATATAAAACTCATCTGTCCACTCCCCCCCCACTCTGCCCCCCCC